TTTTATCATTAAGAGCTTCCAACCTACAAAGCAAATTTGATAAGTCAGAAAGTACTTGCCACCACCTAATAAGTTTCAATGGACCATCCAGCAAATACTGCAGACAACCAATTAGTTGCAAGATTTTAGTCCTCAAACTATATTCTTACAAACGAAATCAGCAGAATATACCATTACCTTTATCATTATAAGGGCTAAGTAGAAGTGGCATAACAAACGGTCTCCTGTATAGAAATTTACTGGTCGTTTACAAGTTGCGATTCTTAAATTGATGTATTGTTGTGAATGCATGTATAGTATTATACATGCATTGTCAAATTTGATGCATTGAAAAATACAACGTTTAGTATGTGTGATTGTGTTTGTCAAATCGGCTAAAAGCTGAGACAAAACAATCTCAACTCAACTATCACAAAAATTGCAACTAAAAGCTGAGAGATAACAATCACACATTTTGAGTGATAGTTTTTGTCACATCAAAAAACAATTCATCGATTATTTCTGCCTAAAAAAAAAGTGATTCATTCTAAACAATACATGTATAGTAACAATCTCATCAAAACAATCGCAACTTCCAAACGACCCCTTACTTTTCGTTTTCTAAACCATATAGACCATGTAATTGGATGTTACGCTCCTAATCTTTCTGGAAGCGTTATTCTACAATAATTTATACCTAGAGACCACTGGAACTCCTAACTTAAACTAACTATAACCAGAATGCAGATACTACTCCAAACACAAATTATCAAATGCAGGTTGTAGTATCATAGAGATGGGGAAAATTAGAATATGCTGTCATTATCGAAATGTACTCACTCCTTGGATGCCTCGTCTATTTTCTCTACATATTTGTTAGTCCCAATAATGTCTTCCAAGTATTCAAGAAAACCTTCATCATGAGGACCTTGAGCTTTAGGCTTCATCAATGAGATCTGCTCAACTTCACCCTAATCATGAAAAGAGAAAGTCGCTTTTAGAAATGTCAGAAACTAATTCCTATACTCAAACATGACAGACAAGTAGGAAAACAAACCTGAAGAATCAAAAACCGGTTGTTATCAAGGTCCACTCCTTTTTCTTTAAGTTTTTTTGTGACTTCTGTAAAATTACTCGAGCGGTCATTGATATAATATTTTGATGAGTTATCCCGAAATGCAACTCTCTTAATCACAAAATCACTTCCTGGAACAGCCTCGTAGTTACCATCATCCTGTAAAGAATATGTAGTCAGGCCATCAATACTTGTAAATGCCAGGAAATCGGCAGAGCAAATATCTTTTCCTATTAACTCATACAACAAAACCATAGAACAAGAATAAAAGATTAGGGAAGCTTACCAGGTCAACGATCTCCTGGAAGTGCACAGAAACAGCAGCACTGCTCAAATTCTGGTGATTTGTGGAGTTGTGAATAAGCTCCGAAACTTTGTTAAGCCTCATCTAGACAACTCAATTTCAACGCAAGAAGATGGTTAGCCCCAAATCAAAATCCCCCCTATCCACTTACTGTTTTCCTGAATCCTCCAAATCAAATGCATATACAGTTTCATAGTCCCAAAAATGTGCTAATTTCTGCAATCTCAATCATTCGACATGAAAAATTTTGAAGGTACCTGCTTTGCTCGCTTCCCAAACACGAACAACATTGCATCTATCACGTTGCTCTTCCCACTTCCGTTGGGTCCAACCACTGCTGAGAAACTCTGGAGTTGACCAATTCAACAAGCCGGGGGGGAATTTTCAGCAACAGGAAGACGCAATTTTTAAACCCGCCAATTACACAGCATTTTTTTCGTTTACTGAAGTAGACCGATAAGAACTTTGCCCAGTGGAAGTTGACAACTCAGAATTGTAATCAACTGATTAACTCATACAATTAAGCAACCCACCAACTGGAGTAGCCAGTAACCATGTGTAATTTACAGCTGGACCGTACGATTAAACCAGAACCCTAGAGTTCTCAAAATTATGCAGGCAAAAGGAAGAACGACGAGCAGGAATATCTACCCAAAACCCTAACCTTGTGGAAAGGACCGACGCGCTGTTCACCAGCGTAAGACTTGAAATTCATCATCACCATTTCCTTGATGAAAAGCCTGGGACCTCTTGAAGAACCTGCGGATCGAAAGGACTCGGACTCGGTGGCCGTGAACTCATCCCCAGTTTCCATATCCATCAGAAGGCACTTCCAACTCAAACAGGACTTCTTGCTAGCTTTACTTCAGTTCAACTTCACGGGGTTCATAAATCTCCAAGCTGATTCCCCATCTTGCACCTTCAATTTCTCTTCTCCTGCTTAGTTCCTTCCGGCCGCTGCAGATTGCTCTCGTCAATCTGCTCCCCTTCGCCGCCGCGCTTGCCCCGTCAACGTTAAACACTAGTTGTATCTCGTTCTCGCTCCCCTTGGCCCGCTGCCGCAATGGATCTATATCCCGTTCAATGGAATGCTCTCCCACCACACGGGTGCTTTTCTTCTGCGAAGGGAGAAGTAGGAGAAAGGAATTCTTGCCAGAGAGACGATTTCTCTTACTTCTATTTTCTTCCTTTTTGTTTTGTTGGTAAGAGGGGGAAAATTCTGGAGGCTTGGCGGGAACATGAAACTGGCTTTCAAATTTAAAAGGTTTTAGATAGAGATGTGGACCAAGGCCCAATCTGAGGGTTCGTTGAACATTCAATCCATGGATTAGCCAAGGACACAGATGTCTAGGTCACTGATGGTGGTTAGAGGTGGCAATTGGATCGGATTCGTGGATTCGTGGATTGGATTCGTGGATCCATGGATCAAATGGATTGGATCCAATGGATTGGTGGATTCATGGATTGGATCCAATGGATTGGTGGATTGATCCATGAATCCAAATAACATCCAAGGTTTGGACCAAAATGTAAATTTTGAAAAGTTTAGGTACTAAAATGTCATAATGAAAAATTTTAGGTACCAAAATGTAATTTTCCAATGATATTTTTCGTATAAAAATATAAATTTTAGGTACCAAAATATAAAATATAAAAAATATAGGTACCAAATTGTAATTTGTCATTTGGATCCATGGATTGATCCATGAATCCACCAATCCAATTGGATTTGGATCAAATGGATTGGATTAGGTGGATAATTTGGTGGATGGATTGGATTGGATTCATGGATTTGGATCCTAATTGCCACCTCTAATGGTGGTGGCCTCGGACTGTTGGGTTTTGTAGTGCTAGTTTGCCTTTGGCCGGGATTTTTTAAATTCTTTTCCATAAATCATTTATTAAAATTCAAAATATTATTTTTTTATCATTATCGAAAAAAACTCAATAAATAAGAATTTATTTATAAGAACAGGTTTATTTTTTATTCTTACATGTTATTTAATAGACTCGAAACTAAAAACTTCAAAGTAGTGGAAGACTTCTAGACCAAGCTATTGTCCGCTTTCATGTTAGAATTTTGTAGTCTGAACTATTATACATTGTATTTCAACAAAGTATTTCATATTTTTATATACATTAGTACATTTAATAATAACTTTTTAATAATTTTATCCACCGTTCAAGGAGGGCATTGTTCTTTTGCCCATTTTCAAATGGTTCTTCTCGAAGTTAGACATTAAGTGCATAATTTGCTTGTGACTTCTCTCATAAGCCTCTTCTATCAAGCCAATTATTAGTATTAAGAATGATTTGAACTTTCTATAGTTCCTCAATCAGATGTGAAGATTTTTAGTCGATATGTTTATATTTCTACCAATTTTTTTATTTCCACCCTTAATTTACAAAAAAATTGAAACACGTACCTCATGGTATGGTTTGAGAAAACTATAAAGGATGACTTGGTAAATCATTTTACTTCAGAGCGATTTTAGTAATTTATGGACCCATAGTTTTTTTTAACCGGAAAGGACACATATAGTTGTTCGTATTATATATTCATATTTTCTAGCTTGGAAATAGAAAAGAGAACGCGAATGAGAATTGGGTTAGCACAATACTAACCTCATATTTTAATTTCATATCCAACGGTATATAGTATTAGCGATAGTTTTGAAATTTAAAAATTAAGTCAATTAAAATTTACATTTCACAATAAAATACTAACAAATTCTCTCTCTCTCTAGCCCTCTTCCTCCTACCTAACGCCTCTCTTTCTCTTTTCTACCCTCACTTTTCTCTTCACGTAAGAATAAGTTAGTTTTGAAACGAAATTGAAATATTACGAATTTAAAATTTAAATTCGACCATAAAAATTCTAACAGATTTTCTCTCTCTAACCCTCTTCCTTTCCTCTCGGTATTTAACTTCTAACAAATTTAAATCATGCCTCTCTTTCTCTTTCCTCTCCCTCACGCCTCTCTTCAGTCTTCGCATAAACGAATAGACATAGAATTATTAAGCAGTTACCAGCGCGGGGAAAATGAGGCGACTGACATGGCCTCACGATATGATAGGGAATTTGAAACGAAGAAGGTCTTTTTGAGAAACCCTAAAATATATTTTATATGGAGGATACATATATTGTTTGAAATGTACCTTCTTTTTTTGTTTTTTAGCAGAAATAATACATAGATTGATTTTGTGAGGTGACAAAAACTATCATTCAAAATGAGTGATTGTTTTTTTATAGCAAAATGAGTGATTGTTATATCTCAACTTTTAGTTGTGATTGTTGAGTCGTAGCTTTTGGCTGATGTAATATACACAATTACCCAGACTTTATATTCTACAATGTATCAAATTCGACAATACATGTATACTATTATATATGCATTCATAATAATACATCTATTTAAGGAACCCGTAGCTTATTTTGGCCTAGAGATATACATTATGCTCAGTTGCCTTGCCTGACCTTCGAATTTGAGCATAGAACTCAGTTGTGCTTGCAACAATGTAACCATTTCAAGGGCCTTCTTCAGATCACAATCCTCGGAAAGATTTCCATCAGCTAAGGTTGCTTGAACCTTTCTAGGGTCCACGAGATCTTTCTGGATTCTGCAACAAGAGAGCACGTACTCACTTATCTCCAAGATCATAATGTTCACCAGCATTTTCAATCTTGTTCTGAAGCGCCAGAGACTGAGATTTCAGTGAAACAGCAATTGGGAAAAGAAAACCAAGCAAAACATATTTGCAAACCTTCTCCTTTAGCTCCTTAGACCCTTGCACAAGTCTATCAATCTCTTTCTCCTCTGCAGATATCATTTTCTCAAGCTCCAGCCGCCTATCAAGCTCGTCATTCTTTGGCTGTGACGCAACCTCCAAAGATGCAAGCTGCTTCTTAAGATAACTATGGTGCGATTTCAAACTATCGATCTGCAGAAAGGAAAGTTCTTACAAAACTACTTCAGTTTTTTTAGCAACTCATACAAAACAAAGACTACGATAGACACAAGATCACCTCTTTCGGGCTTTTAGCGAGTTCCATCTCCAAATGTGAAAACAGCTTCTCTGCTGCTTGGTAATTTCTCACGCATGAGCAATTCTTTTGCCAACGCATTCAATTTCTCAACCAATGTTGAGAGTTCCTTCTCCTCATTCTGCATGGATTCTGCAGACACACCAACAGCTCGAACCGATGTACCCATCTTCCCACCCCTGGGTTACTTCCTCCACCACTCATTGTACCAGCTGTTTCAAAAAGTGCACCACCCAGTGTAACCACACGGCGGAACTCTGTTTCCTTACGCAATTCTTGTTGCCTTGTATGTTTAAAACAGAAGTCAGTCTAGCTTCATTTCAATTTGTTACCAGCATCAATAGTAAATCCCAATTGCATGCAACGAACCAAACTATTCTTGAGACACCATTGTACAATTCATGAAATATTTTAAAGCTCAAGTCGTTTGATCATAAGAAAGTTAATAAACTAAAGTGGAAACATAATCACATGGAAATTCACCATTTAGAGAGCTAAGATCTACTCAAAGATGCTACGGTTCTGACAAATGGAATTCCTTCTGCATTATCTTGTCACAAAGATGTATAAAAAAATGAGACACATAATTCTGATCAGACAGAGATGAAAGGAACTTCAAAGCTATTCTGGGGCAGGTCATGCCAATATCAACCTGGAAAAGATCATACATAAAAGGTCTGAACTTAAATCTACCAGTTGCACCATGGAACCAAATTTAATTTAACTTTATCTGTTGCTAGAATATATAGAAAGAGATAGAATAGGAAACTAGATGATACCTGGTCCAGATCCTTTGCTACAGCAGTGTTTCGCAGTACATCATAGAAAGCAACTTTCATTCTCTTATCCTAAACCCTTACCAGATCAAAAGGACGTGGAACAGGACATATGAAATGGATAATTTATCCTTAGATCAGCAAGAGCTAAAATGTAGTTTACCGCACCAGTACATGGGGTGCTGATAAATTAAGGTCAGCGCACACTCATACATATAGTCTTACGAATATGAAATGGTAACATAAAATAGTAGTTTCTCTAGAAAGGAAACGCTTCGCCGTTCCTGGTAGGTTCCCAAGTTAATGAATCCATTTTGGTCCTGCAGCAGCCTCGTGCTCAACTCCAGCTACCCTGGCTTTGCCTGAAGATACTGTCACAGCTCATGCCAAACAACGGTGTCCAATTTCATCAGAGAAGTTGCTTCCATCCTCATGTTCTACATCTACTACAGCCACCTTAGGCATGATTTCCAGCGGTGCATCCATGAGTCCTGACAGCTTGAGTAAGGAGTCCTCGCCCGAATCGCCTAGCAATGTGTCCACGCAACCATCCTCTATTGCATGTTTCAACATTTCGAAAAAAATGTACTGCAATTGCAATCCATCCCTCTGGATGAGGTCATCCTTTACCTGCCTCAGCATGCGGACAAGGATGACTTGCAATGCATCCAACAGAACGGGGTCCCCCAGTGCATGGTTCAGCATGCTGGAAAGGATGTCTCGCCATAAATCCATGAGGACGGACGGCTTGACTGAACTCGTAATGTGACAGCTCCTGTTGTCAGCGGACTTGCATCCATCCTCCTCTTCATCTACCATACTCACCTCTAACATGTTGACCTGCCGTGCAGGTAACAATAATTTCGGGTAACCTCCTTTGAGGCTATTGACTTGTATCTCGTGGATGTAAGGCTGAAGAAGTGGATCCCTGAGCAGCTCCCCTGCCTGCACGAACTCTCAACAGTCAAAGGATATTTTAAAACCAAATATTACAAACAGCATGGCCTTCTTTCTCAAGGATCTCTTTGTGGAAATATGTACTACTATTAAGATCAGTTTGAGAGAACTAGGATGGTAGCATACCGTCGGCCGCATTTCTGGGTCCTTCTGCAACATGCTTCCCACAAGATTTCGACTGTCAAATATGAATAGGAATGGATCAAGCATAGGACAATTTCACTAGAGCATTATTGAATATATATATATATATATATATATATAATTAGTCAAGAGCCAATCAGCTATAACCAGAATTATATAAGATCGGTGACTGACTTACAGAGCATCTGAATATTCAGTTGGAAGTGGACGCACTGGGCCTTTGGTTTCGATAATCACATCATCAAGATCCGGCTGAAGAGATGGTGGTAAAGTATAAGCAGGATACATGATAGAAGAATATAACAAGTTTCTTGCTACGAGAAACCTCAGCAAGGCCATGAGAACTTACACCATATTGAAGAAATGCAGCCTCATGACAAGTCATTGTATACATACAGCAACCTGAAAAAGAAAATTAGAGATGAATATTAACTCGTTGTATGCATTTCAACCATAGGTCGGGCCATATATATGGACGAGGACTTTGACAGTCTGTAACTTACCTAAAGCCCAAATGTCTGGTTTTGGACCGTAAGGTATTTTCTCAAGCAACTCCGGGGACCAATTCCCTATTGTTCCAATATACTGAAAGCATAATTTAGGTTAAAATACAAAGATCTTTCATGCGAGCATATACAACAGCGAAAAATATCACAGATAGTTGCACAGCTGTGCTTATTACCCTAGAACAAAGGTCATCTGGAGAAGTCAAAATCTCTGCACATCCAAGGTCACCTGCTTCCATATTGGTTGTTAATAGGTGAAAGGCAGAAGTTTAAATTACGTGGATGGTGATTATTGGAATGGTTACAAAGATTGCGTACCCAAACGAATGTCTTCATCTTTTGTCAAGAAGATGTTACAAGTCTGGTTCACCATTTCAAACAGAATAATCAGCCAACAATGCCCTAATGAACGGACAATGGTGATATTTTGCTTAAAGTAGATAAAAAAATTAAAGTGGTTCATGATACCTACATTGATATCACGGTGAAGAATGCAATTTGTATGTAAGAAATCAAGAGCCATGAGAAGTTGAACAAACCACTTGCATAGCTTCTGAAATCAAATCAGATAATCAATCCGATGGACAACTATGTATGTAAAGGTGAAATTCAAAGATATTGCAGAACTAAAACACCAACTCTGAGAGCATAGGGAGAGAGAGAGAGAGAGAGCAGAAGTGACCTCTTCGGAGAAAAGCACACCATTGGCGTTCTTTACGGCCTCGTCCATATTTCCTCCGTCACAATAACCTAAGATTAGGCATGCCTTGCCATCCTGACCATTGAAAATCAGCAGCGAATTAAGCGTCCTACTTAATGAAATTAGATCTTCCATACACACAGCTAGCAGATTACCACCCTACCACGAACAACAGAAGTTAGCTAATAACGCGATCGAATATATATACCTTTTCAACCCATGAATCTTTGTACTCTACAATGAATGGATGTCGTATCCTAGAAAGCAGCTCCATCTGCATCATGTACATGTACATAAGCAAGGCTGGTTCATTCATGACCATAACATATTCAACACTAAAAGCACTCTTCTTTCCGTGCATAGTTGAAATTTGCAAAGAAAGAGTAGCACTGACCTCTAGACGAGAATGTTCGTATAGAAATTCATCTTCATCGTCATACTCGATTTCGGTCTCTTTTAGTACATACCTTAATGGAGCAAAAGATCAAAGTAGAAATTATTGTATCGGAACAGGAAAAACTGACAATCGAGAGAAATAAGGGAAGGTAACTAAGAAAAAAATTAGGTTTCGTCGATCCTCACTCTTTGTTTTCGAGCCTGTGCCTCACAAGAGTAGCGGTGCTGTATGTCCCGCGCCCAATCTGTTTTATTACCTCGTACTGCTCCATGCTTGAAACCCTTTCTTCCCTTAAATACAGACCAAGAATTTTGGTCATATATGAACAAGCAAGGGTCGAACACCACATAAAGAAAAAAGAAGAACTTTCACCCACAGTCGTAAAGGATAAAATTTGAGAACCGGCGGGGGTGTTTCTCTTCTCAGATCCACGAGCTAGATAGAGTAAAGGTCCTCGATCTTATTACCTTCTCAGCCCCGGCAGCGGATGAGAATTCGGAGGAAGCCTTGGCTTGCTCCGGAGCACACGACCAGTGTAATTGAGCTGGGGTTGGAGGATTTTTAGGGTTCGTGAAAATTGGGGAAAACAGACTTTAGAGTTTAGAGAGAAGATGAAGATGAATACGAAGAGGAAAAGGAATAGCGATTCACCTTCTTAGTCTTGGTTTTGGGCTTGAGAGCTACCGGCCTGAAGGAAATTAAAGCACCACTGACCCAAGGTAAGACTAAATTAAAGTATCCTTGTTGAAACTAGCTTTGTAACCCGTCCGTCGCCGGTGAGTGTTCTTTCGTCAGATACCAGATCAGTCAAAAAGTCAGGAAGAAGACAGAGGAGACCACGCCGATGAGCAGGCAATGGAGAACGGCCGAAGCTGCTGTTGCGGCTTTTCGGTGAAGAAAACAACAGCTCGTCTGGCAGGGACAAGGTTGTCAAACCGGTTTATGCCGGTGTGCCGGTTTTGTAAGTGGAATGGTCTGACCGTGGTACAACCAGTATTCATGCCGGTTGTGCCGGTTTTAATAAAATACATGAGGAAAATGGAAATCCTCAATTCCAAATAAATTAGTCATGAAAAAGCAAATAGAAGAATTATGTCACACAAAATAATTCATAGCTAAGAATTGGTAACTAATACTAAACAATTAGATGCTTAAAAATAAAATTTTATTAAAGTGAATTTTATTAATGTTTATAATGATTTGTATAAAATTTAGTATTAGATATATAAAATATAAGGTTAATGTAGACAACAAAATTGCTTGTAGCCTACTGGTGTGTAAGTTAAACTAAAATGAACATGAGGTACTTGGTTCAAATCCTATGGAGAATGTTTATTTTTGGATATAATGTGTGTAACATTAAATTCCGGTTTATGGTCTAACCGGCCGGAATTTCCGGATTTGACTGGATCTGACCGGCATTGACCGGATTTGACCACAGTTAAATGCCGGCCCCTTTCCAACCGGTTTGCTGACCGGTACCGGTTGAACCCGGTTGAACCGGCCGGCATGAAACCGGTTTGACAACCATGGGCAGGGAGAACTGCGAAGGGGCAGGGCCGACTACGTTTAGGGTTTCTTTCTAGGGATGGCAATTTACCCACCCATGGGTAATTTTGCCCAAACCCAAGTAGACCCATTTATTATGGGTAGGGTTTGGGTGATGTGTGTATGGGTTTGGGTGATGTGTGTATGAGTTTGGGTTAGATATGGATATTATCTAAATGGGTATGGATATGGATATCCATTTACTTGAGGGTGTTTTAACTACACATGCAAAAATTTGTAAAACTTGAAAATTTTAGGTACCAAAATGTAAGACCAAAAAAATTTAGGTACCAAAACGTAATTTTCCATCGATATTTTGAGGACTTATATGCAAAAAAATTAATTTTAGGTACTAAATATGCATATTTATTAAGTTTAGGTACCAAACTGTAATTTGTATTTGGGCATGGGTACAAACCCAAATCCATTTGTTATAAACCCAACCCAAAGTAAATGGGTATGGGTACAAACCCATCAAATTTTACTCATATCCATATATTTGGATTTCATACCCAACCCAATTGGGTTGGATCGTAAAATACCCATGGGTATGGGCAAAATTGCCATCCCTATTTTTTTCATCTCCACCGGCCTTCAAATTCGTACGGGAGTTTACTTTTACAGTTTTTCATGAAACGGGGCCGTCGACTTGATTGCCTGGGTCAACCGTCCTGGTCTGCCGAGTTTTATTGGGTTTGAACGGATTTGACCGAATTCGGGCGAAAGACTAACTGGGTCATTGACGCCAACCAATTAAGCGACCGACGACCAAAACCGATATATTACTTCAAGCTAGGCGCCTAATTTGTTGTTGCATGGCGGAGCTTTGAAGAGAAACCATCCTATAAATGAATTGAAAAACTTGGAAGTTTTGCGGCATTGGAAGAAGTAGTAACATGCAGATTGACCGTTAACTTCGTCCTTCCTTACGCTTCCCATCTGGCTGAGAAAGAGGTTTGAATTTTTGGATTCAGCTTTCTTTCCCAAATTCGGTTGTATGATGATATCGTGTCACGTTTTTTCTAGACTTGCGGGTGTTTGTTTGATTGTCCGTTCATCTATTCGTTGTTTTTATTGATGTATGCAAATAGGAAGATCAAGTTGTTTGATCGGCATGGTAGAATTGATAAGGTTGCCTGCTTGTTCTTCCAAACGCTGAAATGGAGGTTTAGTGTTTTTTTGGTTTGGATTAGTGGATAGTGGGTCAAGGGTTCATGGTTTATTTATCATGGTCTAAACCGCTTCAGACCCACACTAAAAGGGGAGACCGCCGCAAGTTAAATCAGACCGTGATTCTGATATCACAGTCTGAATCAAACCATAATTTCACATGCGGTTTAGTTTGGATTCCAAACCCTGCCCAGAAGCCAGACGTATAATGAAAAATGTTTTCATCTTATTCATAATTTATTAGAAGATTTTTGTGCCATAATATTCACGTTATAAAAAAAAAAATTACACTTGTTTTATGTAAGGAGTTGAGTTCTATTCTACCACTGGAACTTGGTTTGTCTTCCTTTGCCTGAATTAAAATACTAGTTGAAGTCAATAATTGATTAACAAAGTCCAAAATCGTGAAAGTGGGGCCCTAATGCCAAATTATATTTGGTTGTTTGATGGGCTAAGACCATCTCCATCCAATTGCTTATTGGGTGGAATCCTATGTGGCAATAGCTTTAAACAATTGCAAGGATGTAGCACTTCTTTCTTATTTAGCAAGATTGCTAAATAAGCAATTCTCTTTGCAATGTCACATAAGTAATTGGGACCCACACATTCATGCACTCAAATTGTTTCTTTTTTCTTTCTTTCTTTTCTATCCACTTTGTACACATAAAATGTATTGTTAAGGAAAAGAATATGTAGTAGGTCCCATCAATTGCAATTGCTAACCTATTGCAGGGATGTAGGTGGTTTGAAATGGTTGAATTGAATAGTTGCTAAAGTTGGTGATGTGGATGTGGGGTCCATTTATGAAATGGCTAACCTATTGCAGGGATGGAGATGGTCTAATATTGAAAGACCAGAAACCAATAATTGCAAGTAGAACCAAGTTTGAACTCAAAACCAATTTGGAAAAGTAAGATTGAAAGTGAACATTATTTCGTGTTTCTAACTGGAAAGGGAAATCTTACCTACAGACACAGTAAGAAAAAAGAATCGACTTTCCTCAATTAGTACCATTCGAATTCCTCAATCTAAAGTTATGATAAGTTGTAAGCCCAATTCCCGTATGTCACTAGGAAATAATTGTGGTCCTAGTGTAATTATCACTTAATGGTTTAATATATAAAGTAAGTCATATATTGGTTAGGTTAATGAAAGGTAAATTCCTAATATACCCTGATGGTGGGTCTATATAAAGAAACCCTAGAATTGGTCCTCTCTCAACCCATTGCGTAGAATTTCTTAGTCGTCATAGAAATCTCTAAACCTAAAACCTAAAGGGGGGAGAAACTCAATTCCGGTGATTATTACTCAAGCCGCCGTCGCCGCTCTCGTCATGGATCGAGGTAGGGTTCCTTGATCTATTACCGATTCGTGAAATCATCTAATTCTAAAATTCATGCTATTATGATCTATGTTAACATAAGTTATGCATGCACATCAGCACATCTAACATTTTTGTATATAAAAGTTCACCTTATCTAGAAACTACGTGATTGACTTTTGGGGTACATAACTCAAATGAGTGTTTTTTCTTTTATTTCATGTGCCCTCCACTTCAATCCTTAGCTTCATGACAATCTCCAAAACTTTAGGAAAAAATCACACAATACACTAGTAATTAAAAAAATATTCCAAAATACATAAAATTATAAAAAAAATTCTCAATCTACACATGTTTTACATTCATCGCCTTTGTCTAAGGCAGTGAATATAATCACCGCCTTAGACAAAAACGGTGAATAATTCACTGCCTTTAGTTAAAACGATGACGTATTCACCGCGGCCTAGCCAAACGATGAATAATGAGGGAACCATTCACCGTCTTAAACTAAAACGGTGAAGAGTTCACCGTTTTAGTAAAACGGGGTGAAATATTTCCTTCATCGTAAGGCCACGATGAAAGCGACGCGGATCGCTGACGTTGCCGTTGGATGCGGTGAGGTGCGGATTTTGGTTTTCTTTCCAGATCTGACGCCTCACAGCGTCCCACGTCATCTATCCACGCCTTCACTGTCTTCGATAAAGGCGATTAATTCACTTCCTTTGTCAAAGGCGGTGATGGCTCAATGGATGTTTTTCGGCACATCCTTCCCCTATAAATAGACCCCCCCCCCCCACCCTTCCAAATCACACCACCACATTTACACTTCTTTCTCTCTTCATCCATCCACTCTAGACTCGTTCTAAGTATGCCCTATGGTTGCGGCTAAGTCCGATCTTCCACATCATAAAGAATTACTAGAGTTATACCCTAAAGCCCCCGTCCCTTATAAACCCGTCGAACGTCTGTCCGGCTTTCGCCAAAAAATGGACGAAGAGGCTTTTCGGATAGGTTCTTGGTTTTTCTTTTGTCTTTTTTTTTAATCGAAACAATTTGATTTTGTCATTTTTTTAATCAAAACAATCTGATTTCATTACTTTTTTATATATGGATGCCGAGATATACGATCCTCGATTTTATATCCATTATGGGCCAAGAGATACGAGGTATTTAGCCGATCAAGAAGCACATCGCTCCCGTGCAATTTGGGACAACAATCCGGTAAACACTACGTAGCTTATCAACAATTTACTTTATTTTATTATTTTAAAAAGTTTTATTTTGCTTTCTTTTAACTAACAAATTGATGTTTTTTCTATTTTTTTGTAAGAATCACTTATTCCCGTTATTCATAAAGGGACCACTAACTTGCCCGCTTGACATGATCGACAACGATCTGCTTACGGCAATGGCAGAGCGATGGCGCCCCGAAACCCATACTTTCCACCGACCAGAGGAGGAAATGACGATCACCCTCAAAGACGTCGCGATCCTCATCGGGCTGCCGATTTCTGGAGAGGTTATCATTGGTACCACTACCAAACCCGAAGGAGGTTGGGGGCCGCTCATTTATGATCATTTGGGCTTTGACATGCCAACCACCACACCAATTCAAGGACGGGGGCATCCACCATTGAATGCGGGACAAGTGTCGGTCCCGTGGCTCGTTACTCACATCCAAAATGAGGTGGAAATTGACAACGAGACGCAAGTGTGGTTGGTCTCAGCTTTCCGAATCACCCAAGCACCCTTTCTCTTCATATTTGCAGCCCGCAGTTGCCATATACAACCCTCTGCATCATTCTTGCATATGGCATGTAGTTGTTTACTGTCAGAATATTTTACCTTCCACT